AGATAGTTCAAAATTAAAATTCGGCAAAACAATTTAACTCCAAAGGTGTGGCTTTTTTGTAAGAATCAGGCAAAGAATTTTTTGTAAGAATTTGAAACTATGAAAGTGAAAACCCCCTCAAAATTTCAAATAGAGACCCCTCAAAATTGCATCAATTTTTTATATATTGCTCAGAATATAAATAAAGCTTGTTGAGGAAAAAAAAATTTTTTTTGTTCCTTTGAAATTCGGTTTTAAAACTATGAGATTTTATAAAATATTTTTAATAATACCTAAGACCTATTCGTATGTTAAGGCTCAAAATTAAAAAAAACATTAGTATTCTTTCAAAATGATACATGGGAGAGGCGCTAAGTTTTGTAAAATATAATTATGTTAAAATGTCAAAACAAAATGGTTCTAACATAATAATATAAAAAACTCATATGATTTTATCACATATATGATAAAGAGTGAATTGAAAATTGAACTCAAATTGAACAGCAAAAAAACTATATTGCAAATCAAATGATACATAAATGAAAAAAAAGTTAAAGAATTAGTTGTTCATTCATAAATACAATTATTTTGACACACCAAACAAGTCACCATATAACACATATACTCTACTCTGCTGCAGTAAGTTTCTTTAAGAACAGTGATATGACTTAAGTCTTCTTCGGATAATGAATAATCTTTCAACCATTGCTTAGAGAACGAGCATCTACTAAACAGATAATGTTTTCAGTTTGTTAGCTTATCTGCTCGAGAGAAACTGGCAAGCGAAAAGTATTCTAACCTTGCTCGTTATTCATATAGTTAATTCTGATTTCAGATATAGATATTTAAAAGTTATTCCGAGATTTTTAAAACAATGTTATCTAAAATTCATGATTCGTTTAATTTTGTTTATAGTATCAATAAAACTGTAAAGTTATATATATATATATATATATATATATATATATATATATATATATATATATATATATATATATATATATATATATATATATATATATATATATACATATAATATATATATATATATATATTATATATATATATATATATATATATATATATATATATATATATATATATATATATATATATATATATATATATATCAGATTTAATAAAGATTGTTTTGATATGTGGTTGATCGATTTTGAGTTGGTTTAAAACTGCAGTGCAACAATATCACTTATTTCCTGATCACGCCTATAAATTGAAGTAAAGTAAACACGCTTTTAATGAACAATATATCCACATGTAAACTCATTCCTTTTGTACTAAAACACTTTCTCTCTTTGGTCCTTTTTGAATCAAACCGAAAGAAAATTTTAACCAAAATCTTTAAGACTCTTTAAGAACCTTTATAAGTTTTCGCTCTTCTTGAACGAACACTTTCTTTTGTGGAACTACCAATCCTTCATTAGATGCATGTCATTTTTTTGCTATTTCTATAAGATATTAGGTACACTAAAATGTATTCATTTATATCTGATATATATATATATATATATATATATATATATATATATATATATATATATATATATATATATATATATATATATATATATATATATATATATACACTAAATGTATTCATTATAATCTGATATATATATATATATATATATATATATATATATATCAGATTTAGTAAAGATTGTTTAGATATATGGTTGACCGATTATAAAGGAATATTATTCTCATTGAGGTAATTGATGACACTTCTAACATTATGTAAAAAGGCCAGGTCAGGCCAGAATACACAATTACCATCACTGTGATATTTGTTGATAAAAGGAATCAATCATTTGATGATGCAATCATTTTTGTACACTGAATGGTCAATTGCCAGCCTCGCAGGAACAATAAATGGTTTTAAGATTCCACGAGGGAATATGGTAATCCACACAAGAATTTTTTTTTTATATTTGCATTTGCACTTATATTTTACATTTTTTGGTGCATTTTTTTTTTCATCTGAATAAAATCCAGCATTAGAGTTTTTATTCATATATTTAAATATAAATATAACTCATCGTCAATGATAAAGTCACAGTTTCTGAATTTGCAACAAATTCAGAAATAGTGATTTGTCATTGAAATTCCACACTTCAGTTGCAACTGCTTTAACTGTTTATCAGTGCAATCAGGGATTTTTTTTTTCTTAAAATAAAAAATGTTTGTTTTGTTTTTTAATGTTTTTACAATATACAATAATGATCTCACTTGAATTTATTTTCAATTTTTCTTGTTGAAGTTTCAGACCAGTTGTTCAAAAGACTTTTTTGGCAACTGATGTTCCTAGCAGTCATAATTTTTAGTTTACTGCCTGATCCAGGCTTACGAGACTTTGGCTCATTGTTCTTCCACTTTGCCATAAAACGTTTGATGATTCTTTTGGGGTGATTAGAAGCAACAAAATACTCTACGATGCTCTTCGTTTTAGCGTTAGGATGCAAATTAAAATAGTTGTACACTTATTCAATAATGTAGTCGGCTTCATTTTTGGATAATTTTTTTGTAAATTAATCTAAGCAAAAAAAACTTTGAGTAAAAAATAACTAACACTTCATAAATAAAACAATTGAAAAAGTAAGACTGGATAACTAAAAATTCAATAAGTTTTAGCTTCTCAAAGATTGTGCCGAATTTTTGTCACCAGGAGTTACTTCCACTTGTCTAGGAGCCACAGCTTCCGCAAGCTTTTTCTTTAATAAGTAAACATACTTGCTTTTTAAATTATCTTTGGTAGTATTTTCCAAGTATTTGAAATTCCTTTTTAATCAATATTTTATATCTTTTTTTTTTTTTAATGGTTTTTTGGAGTAGCAAGTGTCGCATTTTTTTTGTGTGTGTTATGTTTGTATTTCTGAACTTAGACTGTAGTCTTCAATAACTTTGGATAAAATATTTTCTTGTTTTAAATGAGTAAAACACAGCATTTTACCAAATGAAAATACTTTATTGTGCCTGCGTACATTTAAAAAACATAATTACCCTAAGGTTGATAAGGTACTTTTCAACATCAACATCTCCTTCAGCTGATGAGTATAGAGCATATTGTTTATAACATTTTTTTTTTGAATGATATTTTGGAAGAGCAATATTAGTTTTCATAAAAATTGTTTTGTTCCGTACTTTACTAAAAAACAAGTTCGATTTATGCAGTCCTTATTTCTCAATACATAAAATAAAATACTTTTCTCTATTTATGAAAATGTTAAAGATTGTTAAAAAAAAATAAAGAAATTTCAATTGTAAAGTAACTTATTTTATGACAATCGGACACTAACTGGTTTTTGCGAAATCGTGATATCGGAGATTCTTTATTGAATTCAATTGCCACAAGTTATTTACTTATGATGTAAGTTCAATTTTTTTCAACTTGAAGCGGAAACTAATCATTTTTCATAAAACTTTAACATTTTTTACCTTTAATTGTAACTTAATATTTACAATAATCACATGAGTTTTTTTCTTTTTTAATTATGTTAGGACCACCAATTTTACATGATTATGTTATAACAAAACTTAGCCCCCTCTTCCGTAATGTGTCCTTTTGTAAGAACACTATAACATTTTTTTTTTCAATATTGAGCCTTAACATATTGATAGCCCTTAGGTATCATTTAACTTTCTTTTCATTTTTAGTCACATTTACCCTAATTACAAATCTTTCAAAAAAGATTGTGTGCATTTCTTCGCCCTTAGAAATAACTCCATTTAAAAGTTGACGAAACTACATGCTTTTGTACTTTCGAACTATGATAATTAGCCAACCACAAGCTTTCATACATTTTGTTATTATTTTTTTAAGAAAGTTTATGGCCTGATATTAAGTAAAAAAATTCATGTTCAACTTCTTGCCTTGTTAAAAAAATGGATTCGAAAATAGTAAAAACTTAATTTCTGAATTTTTATTTTTTAATTTACTAATTATATTTTTAAACAACGTTTTCAAGATATTTTGGTCTATTTTTTTACCAACTTTATAAATAAAAATTAGAATATAATATATATTTATTTGGTAAACATTCAGAACTTTTAAATTATTAAACAACAATCTTTATTGTGACGGTATATACTATTTTAGTTTATATGTTTCTGATTGTTGAAAAGTTTTTTCAGTTATGTTTTATTAGTGTTGCAATGTTAACATAATTGAAATAACAATAAATAAAAGAGAAAACAGTAAATAAAGGAGAAGCAGATGTACTTTAATTTGACTTAAGTCTGAAATTAAATTTTTAAAAAGATAAACCTAATAATGTTGATATTAAAAAAAATTTAATTTCTGATTAAGTTTATGATTTTTACTGGCGACATTTTTGTCATTGACTAAAACCATCATTGAGTGTTCTTATTTTTATATTGAGTTTCCTAATGCTGACGTTTGGAAGTTCCAAATAGTTAGAATTTTATCTTTTTAATTGAGGCGATAAAAGAAGTATAGTTTTGGTTAAAGTCGTTGACAGCTTGCTTATATTAAATCATTCAGCTACTTATAAAAGTTCTTTGTTTATTATTTAATAAATAATGTTTTTATATGTCTATGAAAATAAGCTAGTGTTGACTTCTAAATATTTTTATATTAAAGTGATTTTATAATACAATAGCTGCCATAATTTTATATTTAATACATTAAATTTTATCCCTTTTAGAGGTTTTTAATAATCATAAGACTCTATGGTATATATTGTTTATATGCTAAATATATATTCCAAATATGATCAGTTTATGCAATGCAATTACGACGCACAATATGTTTAAACATAGTGGCGCTCGAGCCTTATTAGCTCCGCCTTTAGTTACCCATAGAATTTATTTTTATTAAATTTTGTAATTATAAATTTTGTTATAATTGTTGTTATTATTATTGTTGTTATTATCAATATTATTATTACTTCGTTTAACTGAAATCGTCTATAAACTTTGAATTTTTTTTTCTATAAAACGTCATTAGATAAGTGTTTTACAGTATTTGCAACTTTTTTTTTAAATTTAAACGTGGAAAAAAATTTTGATTTTTCCAAAAGCACGGTTAGAAACTTTAAACCGTTGAAAAAGATGTCAAAGCGTTTCAACCAATCACAAAAGTTATTGATGCTTTTAAAAATTCAACACGACAGTGTGTAAACACCTTTTAAAAAACCACCCAAATAAATTTCTTGTGCGTTAGGAGTGTCTAAATAGGCAAGATCTGTTTCTGCATAAAGTTTAAAATTGCCTATAATAGGATTAACGGATATGATGAGCGATCTTTGTTTTATGTCTTCATCATTAGCTTGTATTTCAAACATTTCATTTATCGTTATATCAATGATTCCATCTTTTGACGGGTACACTCTTGAACACCACACTTGATTTTCATGACTAGGTATCACTGATATTTCGATATAGAAGGCAGGGATATACTGAGGGATAATCGTTTGAACGGACATTGATTTTATTACAATTAGTGACCTGTACAAAATATAAACAAAAAATTTAAAATTTAGAAGTAAATTTCAATTAAACAGATCATAAACGAATTTGAGAAATTTTGCGTTTATATAAGAACCTGCTCTTTTGATATTGCATTATGCATTGCATTTGTCCCTCGTCTACTTCATCTAAAGTCTAAAAAGACATTAAACTGGTATAATTTTGTAACCAATAACAACAATAAAAACTAATAAGTTTAGAACATTGAATAAAAATATTCTTGTAGTAAACATAAAACATAGAAAAAAAAATCGTTGTTTGGAAAGAAGTTCTTAAAATCTTTCTTACTTACTTCATCGTAAAAAAGCTCTTCCCCGTTTACTTGAAGAGAGGGAATACCACTTCTATTACTACAGCTTACATTTGGATTTCTAATTATAAGCTCACTTTGAGTTTGGCAATCGCCTGACTTCAGTTCACTTGGGTTGTCTTGACAAACATTAGGCAAGCTACTGTAAGTGCTCATTGATGGACTTTTTTCAACTTTTTTAAAATGAATGTGTTGGGTGCTGGAACATCTTTTTAAAAATTTAACATCTCTAGAATTCAGCAAATCAATATTAGAAGGCCAAGAACAATTAAATTTCTTTTTATCGAGTCTCTGTAAATAAATTAGTTTTGATTTTTAAATTTATATATATATGTATATAGTATATATATATATAATATATATATATATATATATATATATATATATATATATATATATATATATATATATATATATATATATATATATATATATATATATATATAATTTATTGTTATTTGATTAAACTTTGCTACGAGTACTCTGAGTGTGTTCGTGAGTGCGTGTGTGTACGTTTGCAAGAGTGCACGAAAGTTACATGTGCACAGTTAAAAATTAAGTGATAAACGTCATTCTACTTTTTAAAAAATTGGATTATGTTTAAAATATAATAAAGTTATTAAAAATCTTTGCTATTTAAAAAAAAACAATAAAAAAAAAAAAAAGATAAATTTAGATAACATTGTTTTTCATATATACGTTGGCGTGTTCTAAAGATTAAATGCAAACAACACGCATGTGAAAAATGTAAATAGCACTTGAGAGTAAGAAAACATTTATAAAACAAACCGATATTTTCAACTTTTTTGGAGTTTATTTACAATTGTTATTATAAAAAATTATGTTATTTAAATAATATTAAAAATGATAATTATTAGTTTTTAAAAATTTTAAATTTAATTTTTTATTTATAACACGGTGCCTATTTTTTTTATTTAAAATGATTCCATTCATTCTATTTTATTTCGGAAAAAACCGATTATGTTTTTGCAATAGAAAACAAAACGATTATGTTTTTTAATTAGAAATCAAAAAGATAAATTAAAAATGTAAATGAGTTGGATATAATAATTAAAAAAATAAAAAATAACAAGTAAAATTAAAAAAGAAAAACTTTTAAAACCCAATGCTTTTAAATGTTATTAACACACAAATTTTGCAATCATTTTTTTCTGATATTACTATTTTATTTTATTAAGCCATTGCGGTTTAAATTACTTTTCATTAAGTATTGGTAATCCCATACAAATATTCTTCTTTTTCCTCCCATCTAAAAAATAAACTTAATTAAAATTAACTAAATTAACTGACTTATTGCAAAACTAATTATTGAATATTGTATTGTCATCAAGCAAGAATATGTATGCAAAATTTGAAGAAAATCTTTCATCATCAATCATCAATCTATCATCAGGAAGTGATCCAAATATTGATTGCAAGATTTAATGTTAACAGATACGAGAAGGTAATAAAAGCATTGGGGAAAAAAAACTTAATTTTATTAATGCGTTAAACATCTTAATTTAGCGTATCGTACTTCAAGACCGAGAAGCATTTTTTAGTGCCGTTATTCACCGTAAATTATCTTTTTTTTTTAAAACAACAACAACAAAATAAACAACAACAAAATAAACAACAACAAAAATAACAAAAACAACAACAACAACAACAACAAAACAACAACAACAACAATAACAACAACAAAAAGCAAATTTGAAGCAATAGATAAGTTTATATGTTAGGGATTTATGTCTGTTATTTGTGTTGATAAAAAGAGTCAATTCATTCGTTAAAAAATTATGTGAACTTTGTAGCTATTTTATTTTTATGAAAAACAATTATAATCAATGAAAATTAGTTATTTTTAATTGATTATAATTGTTATTTTAAATAACATGTTTTTGTAGGACTGTTTACGCAGTTGTAAGAAGTTAAAAAGTTATTTGCGTCAAGCATTGTTTCAGTAGTTCACTGTATTACTGTATTATTCAGTAATTTACTGTATAGTACTACTAAAAAAACGTAACTCTACTAAAAAGTTATTTTTTTAAGTTTGGTTATATTTATTACTTTTTAAAAAAAAAAATTCAATTTACCTTTTTTTTATTTGTCTTTTTTTGTGATTTATTTTGTTATATATGTATATATATATAT